GATGTTATGTGTTTGAGATCAGTTGCAGAATTTTGCCATGTTTATGGTTTTTGATTTAGTGAAGAGTTACAAAACTTGCAATATCTTTATTCTTGTTCATTTAGTAAGTACCATTTTATTTTGTAGCCAGAACAAAGCAAGTGAAGAAGAAAGAGTATCATTTGATTAAAAACTAAACAACAATTACTACATAACACAAATTCCAAATTACAATCGGAAAAAGAATCAGCCGAAGAAGTTGGGATCGTATCCGTTGCTTGAAGTAGCTAAGATGTAGTAAGCAACAATGTGTCCAATTGATCCCCAAGCGAGAACATCGACGATGTTGAATCCGACGGGATCGTTCGATTTCAGTAGACTCACGTATTCTTTGGCTCGATCATCGCCGGCTTCGAAGTGAGTTTTTCCGTTCTGCTCAGGTAATCCTTGTTTTGCAACGTTCTCTCTTTGGAAGTTGAAGAAGACGAATCGGCCGAGGAAGAGTGAGAGTCCCGTGCTGAGACTGATCACGACTGAGGGGTTGAGAGCGGATTTCACGACGGCGGAAGAAGATCTTCTACCTGAGGCGACAGAGAGATTGGGGAGGGTGGAGGAGGAGTTGCCGCCGATGCGGAGTGGTCGGAGGCCGTGGAAGGAGATGGAATTGGGGTTTCTTTGAGGAATTGCGGCGGAGATTGTTGTTGGTGAGAGTAAAGCAGATGAGATCGTCGCCATTTTTCTTCTCGGAGATTGTGGTGCTAAGGAGTTTCACGGTTTAGGCAACAGATGTGAAGAAAGAAGACGAAGAAGAAACTTTTTGATTGCAAGGATCTGATGAGTGACGTGGCTGTGTTTCGTTGGCTCCGTTTGGATTATAAGATTTTTTTCAGGGGAAATTTTGCAGTAAGGCCCCTGATTTTATGCGTTTTATTTTCATAATTCCCGTTACTGTGATTATAGTCACACTCATACTCGTAACTCTTTTCCAACACAGTGACACATAGGGCTGGGCACAGATACGCGTTACCCGTCTTTTATCCGTTATCCGGTTCATATCCATCTCGAAGAATAGGGTATCTGTAATTTTCGAGTCAGGTAAATGGTACTATAATTTTGATATCCGCGGGTAAGGGTCGGGTAAGGGGTATCATTTTTTTCATTACCCGTCTCGTTACCCGTCTTCGTACTCGATTTGCTACCCGACCCAAAATACCCGCATTCTATATCACTAATATTTGATAAACTTAGTTATAAAATAAATTGTATAATATATAGGATAGTATAAATACTCGCAACATCAATACTTTGTGTTTTTGAATTGTCATCGATAATTTTAGAGATGATGGATTACAAGTTTTAAGTAACGAAATTTGTAATATTATATTTTATGAATTATATATGTTGTCTGTTAAGAGATTTTTTTTTTTTTTTGTAATAACATTTCCATTTTTTTGTATATAAATTGTTTAAATTTAGTTATAGATAAATTATACTTCTTAGGTTTTATTTTGTATAATGTTTTAGAAAAAAATTTTGTTTTAAAATGTATGATATTTTATGTTTTAAATGTATTTTTGGTTAAAAAATTCTAATTTTATCTTTCTATATTATTCTGTCGTTAATGATAGAATTTTATTAATACCTTTTTTAAAAATAAATAACGAAGACGAAACAATGCTTCTCATCACATTTGTTGCTTCGTTTGACGTGTAGTCAAACATATCTCTTTGTTTTATACGGCCAGCACATTTGTTTGTCAAACATTTTTATTTTCTGCATTCGTAAAGATTTTTTTTTTTGTTTTTAAACATTGCACAACAAAACTGAGACAAAGTTAAATAGTTATTTTAATAAATTTCTTAATATGAAACGGAGAAAGTATTACAATTGGGCAGATAAGGCCATAAGGATAACAAGTCGGATACCCGTCGGATCAACGAATTTTTACCGGATACCTGTTTTATAGGTATCCAGTTTTTACGGGTTGGATAAAAGTATTGTTTTTCAAATATCCGTTATGATCGGATCGGATAACGGATACTCTAAATTTTTAAGGTATCCGTCTCGTGCACAGCCGAGTGACACACATTATTGAGGTTTTCGTATACAGAATTCGGAAGGAAAGAAAGCCAAAAATATACATTATTAACTCTGTTATTGAGGTTTTATTCGAATTAAAACAGAAAAGGGTAATGATAGTAGCTAAAACTTAGAACCAACTAAAAAAAGATCTTAACCGAGTTTCTACAACAACCACAAAATACGAGGAAAAAACCAAAAAACAACTCACACAGTCACAACAACACACCAACCGGAAAAGGAAACAAAAGACACTAACTACTATATAGCATTTGCACAACACATCATTTACACCTTTTAAGAGATCCATCTTATCTATCCTTTGCTTCTGTCGTGTTCACCGGTTGCTGTATGAGCTCTCTTTTTTTTTTATTCCTCGGAACAAGGTTGTGTATACTGTCGACTTGCTTAAAAAAACGAATCAAGGTACGAGTAGTTCCTGCGCCGACCATACTCCAGGAGGCTACCATAAGTGCGGTCCCATACCCCAATGAAGAGTGCCTCTGTGTCAGGACTGAAAGATATTCCAGATATCTCCCCAAAGAAGTCGATTTCCTGCTCTGTTTCGTACCCGTTTGCGACGTCGAAGACATGGACAAAGTCAGCCGGCTCAGCCATGGCCATGTATTTCCCATCAGATGTGTAGCGGATGGACCGGATTGCTCCAAGGTTACCCTTCAAGATAGCAACAGATTGAGATAGGTTTCGGATGTCCCATACACGGCAGGTCTTGTCCTGGTTTCCTGTTGAGAATGTGACTCCATCTGGATGCCAAGCCGAGGCAAAGGAATAGTCCATATGTCCTGATAGTGTTTCCAACGTCTGTAGAAGAAATTTACAAGATTTGGCATTGTGAAGCACATGCATGGCGACAAACCACTTGAGTAATTTACAAACTTATGTCCAGGACCACAAATACGTACCTTTCCCGTGTTAGGGTCTACTAGAAGGCCCTCTGCGTTGTCCCCAACAATAGCCAGTAATTTACCATTAGGACTCAAAGATGAATGCTGTATCAACAAATTGAAAACAAAAAAAATGACATTTTTGTTAGATGATTTAAAGCACATGTACATTTATTATCACTTGAAATTGGTAAACTAGAGCAGAAATGGGGTTATAAAAGCCTAATTGTGGTTCGTGTCATTTGCTACAAGTGTAAAAGATAAGAGTTGTCCCAAATCAAGAGCAAAAACCAAGACAGAAGCAAGGACATTACATTCACTGGCCAAGGATAACGAAAATGATTAACAAGCTGATATCTCTCCATGTCAAAATCTCTGACTCCACAGTCGTTATTCGAGGCAGTAAAATGAAGAGCACCACTGTAAACAGAAGACAAAAGGTGTATTAGAAGCAGTGACCCTGACAACTTTATGTGGACCCCTTCAGAAAAAGACGAGCAGAAACCTGGGTTTGTAGTAGATCTCAATAGCATTGGTAATAGCATTATCATCATAAGTCGTACGAGAGCAAAAGCTGACGCCTGGTCTATCAAGGTGCTGAACCAATGTGTAAACAGATGAAGCTCATCAATGAGAATGCACATACCCAATGCGATTAATCCATAATAAATAAAGCTAGGCTTACCTTGCAAATAAGTTCTCCTTGAAACCCACCAGCAACTAGAAAGTCATCTTTTACGGCAAGTGTACTCACTTGAGTCTGCGTAAATCCTTCCAGCAAACTTCCAGGATGTTTCTAAATACCCAAAAAGAACAGAGACTTCAGAAATCAGAATCACATAATAATTTTACATTAAAGTAGAACTTTACATTCTGACAAAAACTAACCTCGGATGGTGCAACATGACCGCGGACATTGAGAACTTCATTCTTTCCGGATGTTAGAGAAGAATAATGTGTAACCAGGAAATTTGACATAAGATATACGTCATGCTTGGTAGTTGCCCACACCAAATTCCTCAACTATGAAACCAATAAAGATTCTTGATCAGATGACATTTTTAGTAGTAGATAAATGTTATTTCCTCAACCATGTCAAACACATACGATATATATAATATATAAATCGAATCACACAAAAAAAAAGACTATCAACTAGTCTCATTTTATGAACACTTGATATAAAAAAAACCTGGAAATGAAGAATAGTAGATTTAATAGATCTTGAATTCCGCCAGAAGTCATAAAAAAGTCCCCCTTTCTGTGTGACCTTGCAGACCTGAATTCATAACAAAAAAATAATGTATTAGGTAACTGTGCTAACCTGAACAATGGAGGACATAGAGAATATAAGCCTTACTTTTTCCGAGGATTCCCCAGAATTAGGGACATTTTCATAATTCTTATACTGTTCTAATCTAGTTTGTCTGTATTTCTCTCTAGAAATACTAAGCCTGTCCCAAGGAATCCCCTGGATATCTTTCCCTTTCCGAGCTTGGTCTGCCGAGGTATCAGCTATTTTATTGTTCTGAAACGATACAAACACACATATAATATACACGATTAGGAAAAAAAGAAGAAGAAGCTGAAAACAAGATTATAAAGTAGCATACCCAACAATATGAATAAGCCGTGATCAAGCGTACTTACCGAGTAGTCAAATTCCTCAACATCCGAATCTGATGCACCTAGATCGTCACCACGGAACTCCTCATCCATATCATCTTCCACATCTTCCATCTCATCATCTACTTCTTCCATGTACTCAGCATCATCTCCTTGATGATTGGACATTTTTTTTGTAAGCAAATCAAGTCACCTGCATATATAAACACACAAACCATATAAATAAAGCTTCCAATAAGAGAACCCAACCATATATCCCTACTCAAAACGAGGCTAAACCCATACACTTAGCACATAAATAGAAATGAGTGAAGGATATTAAAAATCAAAAACATCATCAAAGTTAAATAAACACACATGAACAATAATATCCACCAAACAAAACATCAATAAAGCATGCAAACTCCTGGGTTACCAAAAAAATCAATGTCTATATAACTAAAGTCTTGCTGGGGAACTCAAATTCAAAGTGTTATATACATATGAGGACAAAAACGCTAAAGCATCGCAATCCAGTTCCGACACACTAAAAAAATGAAGATTCCACGAGACAAGCGCACAATCATAGAGTCCAGATACCTAACCTAGAACCCAAAGCCGGCAAAATTGAAAACCCAATCTGAAACAATTAATTAGCACAAAACCTAACAATCACAACATCGAAATTAAGACATATGAGAACGATTCCACAAACAATCCAGTAATATGGAAAATTATAGATCAAGGATGGGGACAAACCCTAGGATTTGGCAGGAATCAAACGAAAACGAATTGTTCACTTCTTTTTGTTCGATCTAGAGATTTGGAATTAAAGCGAAAAAAACTGGAGATATATAGTGTTCCGTTTTCAATTTCGGGGTCATGTAAAATATCTTCCAAGCGTAGCGACGGGATCGGTCGCTAGAGAACCCAAAAACGAAAACGGGAAGAGAGAGAGGAACAGCGAAATTTATCTTCCGTTTCACAGGCCAATTAAACATGAGTGGAAAGGGACGGTCCGTTTTCTTTTGCTTGATACTAAATTTTGATTTATTTTTATAAAAAAAAAATATATATATATAAATCTCCAAATCTAGTGATTAATCGTGTTAATTAACCATACCTATTTTGATAATACGAGATATG